CAACAACAACAAAGCCTTTTCCTACTAAGTGGGGTCGGCTATATGAATCCTAGAACGCCATTGCGCTCGGTTTTGTGTCATGTCCTCCGTTCGATCCAAGTACTCTAAGTCTTTTCTTAGAGTCTCTTCTAAAGTTTTCCTAGGTCTTCCTCTACCCCTTCGGCCCTGAACCTCTGTCCCGTAGTCACATCTTCGAACCGGAGCGTCAGTCGGCCTTCTTTGCCCATGTCCAAATCACCGGAACCGATTTTCTCTCATCTTTCCTTCAATTTCGGCTACTCCTACTTTACCTCGGATATCCTCATGCCCAATCTTATCCTTTCTCGTGTGCCCACACATCCCACGAAGCATCCTCATCTCCGCTACACCCATTTTGTGTACGTGTTGATGCTTCACCGTCCACATGCTTCACCGTCCAACATTCTGTGCCATACAACATCGTTGGCCTTATTGTCGTCCTATAAAAATTTTCCCTTGAGCTTCAGTGGCCTACGACGGTCACATAACACGCCGGATGCACTCTTACACTTCATCCGTCCAGGTCGTATTCTATGGTTGAGATCTCCATCTAATTCTCCGTTCTCTTGCAAGATAGATCCTAGGCAGCAAAAACGGTCGCTTTTTTGTGATCTTCGCTAGATTGCTCCGGTCATTAGTGTGGATAAGTATATAAATGAATAGAGATAGGAAAGCAAACACAAGATGTACGTGGTTCACCCAGATTGGCTACGTCCACGGAATAGAAGAGTTCTCATTAATTGTGAAGGGTTTACACAAGTACATAGGTTCAAGCTCTCCTTTAGTGAGTACAAGTGAATGATTTAGTACAAATGACATTAGGAGATATTGTGAGAGAATGATCTCGTAATCACGAAACTTCTAAGTATCGGAGTGTGGTATCGTCTTGACTTGCCTTATCTGTCTCATAGGTAGATGTGGCATCTTCTCTGGAAGTACTCTTCCTCCATCCAGGGGTGGTATCTTTAACTGGTAGAGATGCACAAGGTAATGTATCAATTTCACTTGAAGCTTACTTGTAGTTTCAAGCTTGGTCAAGCGCGATACAAACCATGTAGTAGGAGTCTCCCAAGTCGCCGAGCTAGGGGATCTGCTGAAAGAGGTGACAGACAAGGTAAGCAATCAGAGCTCCGGCTGATTGTTCACCTTCTCCCCATCTTGCAGCAGCATGAAGGATAAAGAGAAGAAAGATGAGAAGAGATGATATGGGATACTTTTGCTTTTGAAGAAGTAACTTTCCACAGGCTTATTCTTGAACTGAGCTGGAGGGTTTTCTGGTTTCCTCCAGAGCCGACTGAAGAATTTGAGGGTCAAAAACAAGTCCATCAAATCTAGAGTACGTTCGACCCTGCTGATATGGGATACTTTTGCTTTTTGACAGAGTAATGGATGTATCGGCACGTGTGCTGTTACGCTTGTCTCCACATGCTTCCTTGTATCCTTCGCACTTGCCCTATCTGTTCCTCAAGCAGATGCGGTATCTTCCCTGGAAACATAAGATGTTGAAGATGAGTACTCGAGAGCAATGCCAGGTAAGTAATCAGGTAAGGGGTTCCAGGCAGTCAGTTCCTGGCTGGAAGCTTGATTCCAAGTGCTGACTGATTGCTCTCTTTCTCCTTGTCTTGCAGGGAACAACAAGGCCAAAGGAAAAGACAGGGAAAAAGCATGATATGGGATACTCTTGCTTTTAACCCTGATGATATGAGATATTCTTGCTCTAGTATAGCTTGTTTGCAAAGGTATTATCGGGGGGAAAGAAAGCTGAATATTTCGAAAGGGTTCGTTGGGAGTGCCCTCTCAAATATGAGGAAGGGTTGAACATTTTTGCAGGTCTGCCTGTCCGTTGGGGATGGAGGTCGACATATATAGGAGTCTCCCTAACAACAAGTAGTAATGCTATTCCTTTACCCTGCTTGGTCATAGCACAGTAGTGGGAGCTGCCAGCTTCACATGTTTTAACTCTGTCAGAGCACTTTGAAAAAGTGGTATGTGCTCTCGAGAAGTCTTCGACAGAATGCCCATAATTTCCGCAAAGCTGAGTGTGCGTGTGACAGGTGCTGACAAGGCTGGAAAAGTAGGTGCCTCTTCGATTTCTGAGATCGGCCCTCGTGGTCTCTGAGGAGCCCAACTTTTGAGAAAGCGAGCGCCTCTTCGATTTCTGAGATCGGCCTTCGTGGTCTTTGAGCAGCCTAATTTTTGAGAAAGCAAACGCCTCTTCGATTTCTGAGATCAACCCTCGTGGTCTCTAAGCAGCCCAGCTTTTGAGAAAGCAAACGCCTCTTCGATTTCTGAGCAGGCGCCTCTTCGATTTCTGAAGATCCGTCGAGTGCAGATTTTTATAGGGGCTGGCATTAAGTTCCAAAGCACACTTGAATCTCCACCAGTAGAAGCTCCATTCTTGCACTTCTAAGATCTTGATTTGTCCAACCTCTTCTCTCTTCAACACCTTTGAAAATGTCTGGCCCCTCCGACCGTCGTTTTGACTTGAACCTTGTTGAAGAGGCAGCCCCGCCTTCTCCAGACAACATATGGCGCCCATCCTTCGTCTCCCCTACTGGTCCTCTTACCGTTGGGGATTCCGTGATGAAGAATGATATGACTGCTGCGGTGGTGGCCAGGAACCTTCTCACTCCCAAAGATAACAGACTACTTTCCAAACGGTCTGATGAGTTAGCTGTTAAGGATTCGCTGGCTCTCAGTGTTCAGTGTGCAGGTTCTGTGTCTAATATGGCCCAACGCCTATTTGCTCGAACCCGCCAAGTTGAATCATTGGCGGCTGAGGTGATGAGTCTCAAACAGGAGATTAGAGGGCTCAAGCATGAGAATAAACAGTTGCACCGGCTCGCACATGACTATGCTACAAACATGAAGAGGAAGCTTGACCAGATGAAGGAAACTGATGGTCAGGTTTTACTTGATCATCAGAGATTTGTGGGTTTGTTCCAAAGGCATTTATTGCCTTCGTCTTCTGGGGCTGTACCGCGTAATGAAGCTCCAAATAATCAACCTCTGATGCCTCCTCCTTCTAGGGTTCTGTCCAGTACTGAGGTTCCGAATGATCCCCCTCCGGTGCCTTCTCTTTCTGGGGCTCTACCGACTGCTGAGACTTCTCCTAAGCAACCCTTGTGAAGGCTCCCTCTTGTTTGTTTATTTTGACTCATGTATATGTACACATTTGTAGCTTATCGGGGATATCAATAAATAAGTTTTCCTTCATTTCAACGTATTGTGTTAAATACACCAAAACCTTCTTCGCTAAGTTCTTTGAATTTTCTTTTGTTGAAGCTTGTATGTTGAAGCTTTCTGAGTGGAGCATGTAGGTTGGGGTAGTGTTCCCTTAATTTCCCGAGTGAGGAAAACTTCTCGATTGGAGACTTGGAAAATCCAAGTCACTGAGTGGGATCGGCTATATGAATCTTAGAACGCCATTGTGCTCGGTCCTGTGTCATGTCCTTCGTTAGATCCAAGTACTCTAAGTCTTTTCTTAGAGTCTCTTCCAAAGTTTTCCTAGGTCTTCCTCTACCCCTTCGGCCCTGAACCTCTGTCCCATAGTCGCATCTTCTAATCGGAGCGTCAGTAGGCCTTCGTTGCACATGTCCAAACCACCGTAACCGATTTTCTCTCATCTTGCCTTCAATTTCGGCTACTCCTACTTTACCCCGGATATCCTCATTCTTAATCTTATCCTTTCTCGTGTGCCCACACATCCAACGAAGCATCCTCATCTCCGCTACACCCATTTTGTGTATGTGTTGATGCTTCACCGCCCAACATTCTGTGCCATACACAGCATCGCTGGCCTTATTGCCGTCCTATAAAATTTTCCCTTGAGCTTCAGTGGCACACGGCGGTCACACAACACGCCGGATGCACTCTTCCACTTCATCCATCCAGCTTGTATTCTATGGTTGAGATCTCCATCTAATTCTCCGTTCTTTTGCAAGATAGATCCTAGGTAACGAAAACGGTCGCTCTTTGGTATTTCTTGATCTCCGATCCTCACCCCTAACTCGTTTTGGCCTCCATTTGCACTGAACTTGCACTCCATATATTCTGTCTTTGATCGGCTTAGGCGAAGACCTTTAGATTCCAACACTTCTCTCCAAAGGTTAAGCTTTGCATTTTACCCCTTCCTGAGTTTCATCTATCAACACTATATCGTCTGCGAAAAGCATACACCAAGGAATATCATCTTGAATATGTCCTGTTAACTCATCCATTACCAACGCAAAAAGGTAAGGACTTAAGGATGAGCCTTGATGTAATCCTACAATTATGGGAAAGCTTTCGGTTTGTCCTTCATGAGTTCTTACGGCAGTCTTTGCTCCTTCATACATATCCTTTATAGCTTGGATATATGCTACTCGTACTCCTTTCTTCTCTAAAATCCTCCAAAGAATGTCTCTTGGGACCCTATCATACGCTTTTTCCAAATCTATAAAGACCATGTGTAAATCCTTTTTCCCATCTCTATATCTTTCCATCAATCTTCATAAGAGATAGATTGCCTCCATGGTTGAGCGCCCTGGCATGAACCCGAATTGGTTGTCCGAAACCCGTGTCTCTTGCCTCAATCTATGCTCAATGACTCTCTCCCAGAGCTTCATTGTATGACTCATTAGCTTAATACCCCTATAGTTCATGCAATTTTGTACGTCACCCTTATTCTTGTAGATAGGCACCAAAGTGCTCGTTCGCCACTCATTTGGCATCTTCTTCGTTTTCAAAATCCTATTGAAAAGGTCAGTGAGCCATGTTATACCTGTCTCTCCCAAAACTTTCCACACTTCGATTGGTATATCGTCTGGGCCTACTGCTTTTCTATGCTTCATCTTCTTCAAAGCTACAACCACTTCTTCCTTCCGGATTCTACGATAAAAAGAGTAGTTTCTACACTCTTCTGAGTTACTCAACTCCCCTAAAGAAGCACTCCTTTCATGTCCTTCATTGAAAAGATTATGAAAATAACCTTTCCATCTGTCTTACAAAGATAAAATTCATTGGGATTTCGGCAAGGGAAATCAACATCACAAAAAAATACGCTTCATCTCATGCGTGGTCTATTGTGTATGTAAGGCGAAAAAATGAACATCCAAAGGATTATTTGGCTCAACAATTACAACATGAATGGGAGAAGCAAATGCAGCAAGATACCGACGGCTAAAAGCTTATACAGGAGCAACAGCTGAACCGCTCGTAAGTGGTTCACTTATTTCGAGGAGTTCGTTACACAGCCCTGTGAAAACAACCGAATCTGTTTCGATGGGCTTGAACTTGACAAGAGCCGAGGGCATCAAATCCTCATCAGCTAGTGTTGCGGCTTTCTCTCCTGCTGCTGGAAAATGAGGGATCACCCGCCGTTTGATAGCTACAGGATTTAACAGCTCGAATTCCAAACTAGGCTCCTTCAATGCTGAGCTCACATACTGGTTCATCAAGACCAAAAAAAAAGAAAATTAAAAAACGTTGAACTCTTAACTTGAAACAAATGCACAAGGAACAAATACACTCGAACACAAATTGTGTATATGTATCACGGTTTAGATTCGTTTTCATTTCCCTCATTTGGGCTGGCTACATAATAATTTTCCAAGCAAAACTTGTTTTAGACATCAAAGACTACATCTTTATTCAAACTTAAAAAACGAAACATACTATGCAGGATGATACACGAAATACTAAAAAGTTGGAGAAAATGCAGATTTCTATAGTTGTTTGCTTGGAAAATTAGTATGAGAGCTGAAAAATGAAGCAGAAACTTGTTCCAACATATCTATACATATTACATATACGTGCACACTCCTTAGTGAATATTTATCACACCCTGTTATACCACATGAAACTGGCTAAACTAGACTCTAGAATGACAATTGATTAAAGGATTAGGAGGATGGTAAAAGACTAACCTCGTATAATGAGCTAGTTGGCTCCAAAGGAGAAAAAACGCCCTGGAGCACCACTCCATCGGGAAACTGGATCCGGATAACAGTTTTTCTGTATCTCCTTTTAGCAGCTTTCGCCTGCTTTTCCCTGAACGACTTTGGGATCAACATCTGTGAATCTTCAATCTTTTTCTTTCTCATTTCAGCTTCTCTTTTCAGCTCCGTAGCTGTGAGGTTGTAGAAAGATGCTGGTACTTCAATTCTTGCTGCCATACTTTCAGAGACCGAAAAGAAGACCCTCGTCTGCACAAGAAACAAATTTCAGTAAACCACAAGTAGTTAATTGAAAGAAAATGAATGAGACATAAATCTGAAACAGGAAGCACTATTTACAAAACGAAGGAATCCCACAATAACAAATACGGGTATGTGTTTAACTTTAATAGTACCAAAAAAACAATGGTAAACAAAATGAAGGAAGCACTCAGATTATTAGATAGAATACACTTAAAATAAGCACTGATCTGTAACCAGCTTGATCATTTCAATGGTTGCCAGAAATCCAGAACATTTTATCTGATTTCCAACTACTTAAACGTCAAGATGAACCTTAATATTGCAAATTTTCTCTATAATTCACATCATTTTCACTGGAATTTTGGGCTGCAGTGCTTTTACCATCATTTAACTGGATTCTACTAATAAACTTTTGGTTTAAAATTTAACATACAATGCAACATCGAATTCTTCAAGAGTGTGTACCTGATTTTCTTGTGAATAAATGGAATGGGACAAACTATATTATCATACAATAAGAAGTCACTTCTTTATATTCTGCCTAACAGCCTACTTTGAAACCAGCCTAGTTGACCAATATCAATGCCCATTTAAAGAGTTCGTTGAAAACCAATGCAAGTCTCAAGACGAGCAATTAACTCAGGGATCCCATGTCAATTTAGAAGTAGCTACCGAAGTTTTTGGTCACTTTCGAGTTATAGTATTGCTTTCCAATCATCGACACTGAAATTCTATAATCCTATCATAACATACATTTATAACTTTCGGGAAGGATATTCCAAGATATAATAAGTTAATGATCAATGATTATTAGCATGCTACGACTGCCATAAAAGATGAAACAAGAATGAACAAGCAACCAACCACAGACTGACACTTAATACGCTAAACAGCATAAAGAGTTAACATACCTGCCGGTCGACCTTCTTTGGTTCAACTGGTTCATCCACGTTCAGTGAAGCAATGGATGGCAAAATGTCTACTTCTTGTACCTTCGGCGGTTCCAGTAATGCTATTGCCTTTTTCATTAAACTAATTTGTTCCTCCTTAGGAACCCCCATCAATGCCCACATCTCCCCATCCTCCTCTTTCAATTCAAACCCCACAAACTCCAGCAACTCAATGCCTCCCACAACCTCACCAATGGCCTCCCGTATCTTCGGATTGCTCATCCGAATCTTTCTAAACTTCACGTTCTCCGGTTCCTTAACTATATTCCTCAACAGCCTAAGAACAACCTCAACCGACCCTGCAGCTGGATTTCCCGAAGCAAAGGTACCAATGCAAGCTTCCAAATCACTCCTCGACGAATCAGACCCGTTATCCGGCGACCCCGAAACGCCAACACCCTCTACACTTTTGTGTTCCACAGGAGCATTAACACAGCTGTCTACATGCACGGATACCTCGTCTTCCGACCTAAACGATTGCCCGCAAATCGGACATTCGAATACATTTAGCGTAAACCCGTTTTGGGATCTCTTCCCCGGCGTGATCAGAGAGTCAAACGGATCAAACCCAGAATCCGTTTTCCGATCAGGCTTCGAATTGCCCGACGGCTCCGCCTTGCTCTGGTCAGGAATTTGCGTTTTCTTCTGATCAAGAATCTGCGCTTTCTGAGGCGAAGGCCTGGGATTTGGGGAGGCGACCGAAGAATTCGAATTCGAATTGGGAAGGGGTTTGGGATTGGATTGGGGAGTCTGCTTAGGGCGAGTGAGGACCGAATCGGCGGTGCCGGAGGAAGAAGACGATCCCAAGACTCGGCCTTGGCCCTTGAATTTAGCGGAGGAGGAAGACGAGAAGGTGGTCTTCATGAAGCCCTTGAACTTGTCTTTCATGTCGTCCATGTCGGTTAATGAAAGAAGAAGAGGAGCTCAATCAAGTCAACGATTGATGCGAAGCGGAATCGGGAGAGGAAATTAGGGTTAGAAAGGGGGATTCTTGATCAAGAGAATGGGGGAGTGGATTAAGGAAAAGCGTGGCGGTTTGGATTGGATTGGACTGGAACTGGTTGACTTTCGCTCGCTTGGCCCGGGGTTCGTTGGATAATTTTCCCCGCCAAAGGATAGCTTTCCCCGCCAAATGGCCCTGCGACCTTGTTGACAGGAGGGTTTCTTTCCCTGTCAATTTATTTAATACTTCTTCCTTTTATGGAATTTATTTACAAAGTAAACTATCGATTTGCCCCTGAACTGTCACCCAACTTTCGATTTCCTCTCTGAACTTTTTAATTGGAAAATTAAGAACTTAAACTAATTTTTTTCGCTGATTCGCCCCCTGCTGTTAAATTTTCATTCATTCCATCCAAATTTCTGTTAAATGGAAGCATGTGCACAACATGTGTGGGTAGTTCGGTTGCTTCATTCTTTAAAATAATTGAAAACCTTAGATTTCTATAATATAAACCTATGCAAATATGTGTGATTCTATAGATTTTGTGTCTGAATGTCTAGTGAAGTAACGCTTTTGTCCACAAATGAGAGTTATGTGGTTTGCACATGATAAGAGTTAACGTTAATTTGGATGAAATCTATGAAAAACTAACGGTAGGGGGGAAATCGGCCAAAAAAATTAGTTTAAGTCCTTAATTTTCCAATTAAAAAGTTCAAGGGGAAAATCGAAAGTTGGGTGATAGTTCATGGGGCAAATCGGCAGTTTACTCTTTATTTATACTTATATTTGAGTTAAGTCTTCTTCACCGCAAATACTCTATTATATATTTTAGTTAGTCTCCTTCACCGAAAATACTCCCAACAGGATTATCTCCGGATTCTTTGGTGAGGATTCTAAGGATCCGTAAATTGTATCCTTCATCATATATCGTGCAATCAGTTTTTATCAAGTACTATTTGTGCTTAATTTTAAATAAAAATGTTTAAAATAATTATTAACCGCACAATATATGATGGCCAGACAAACAGAAAAGATTGACGAATCTCCAATTGTATTTGTAAATTTTTATTTTATTTTTTATGATAGTAGTCTATAATGGCGTATTGACGTGCATATCAATGGCATATGTATGATGGCGTATTGAAATCAATGGCATGTTTAAAATAATTATTAACCGCACGATATATGATGCAACACAAATTTCTTCTCTGTAAACTTGTTCATGTCCAATAAACCACTGCCCCAAATCCAGAAGATAAAAGATTAAATCAATGTAAGCATGAGGTGCAGCCACACTAATTCGAATCGTCACAAAATAACTCGGTGACGTTTTTTTCTTATAGGTTGGGTTCACATAGCATCCCCATACCAGGTCAGAAGCTAAGTTGAGCTTGAGAAGATACTTCTTCCTCCTCTAGACAATTTCTTTCCGTTCAACACCAAAATCGACGGCAACGGCCTTATGCGCATTGTTTGTTCTTCTGGCATTGAACACCTGGAACCGTAGCGTTTTCGTGTAGTAGTGTTCCAAGTGTCCATCTCAGGCCATTCCGGCAATGAATTCCTCTGCTAATGTCAAGGCCAATGGAACATACTTCTTCGGCCAACGTATTTATCCATGCATCTTCCCACAGATTATCACGAGCAATCGTTCAGACAAGCACGACGATAAGCCTGACGTAAATTGGAACGCAATGATCCTGTTGTGAAAGCTCGTAATGCGTATCTTTGCAATAACTACTCCTGACAGGCAAGCGAATATCCTCCTACTATAGGTACTAATTATAACTTATAACAAGAACAAGGATTAGATTACAAATCCACAATCTTACATAGACTTCCTATGAACTCATGGCCAACTCCGGGCCCTGTTTGCTAAGAACAGAACCCCCCCCCCCCCCCCAAAACCAACAACCTCCAACCCGATACCTATGAGTAAGAAAGCAACTGAATTCCAATGTTCTTCTGAAAGAAAATGGCTTTCCACTATTCAGACAAGCAGAAGCCAGTTCTTACAAATGGAGAGGGTCATGACTGATACATGCCGTGTGGGGGACAACTCGGTCCGGTAGCTTGCCTCGAAGCTAGGTTTACTAGAACACTACAAATGCAGACAACGGCAATGTGTGATCGACACAACCAACCCCTGTCCTAGACTGCGAACAACCCTTTTCTTTTCTCCTAAGCAGCCAGCAAGATTAGATGGTTGGCTCTTTGCTTAGCAGTAGGCCAAGTTCCAGTTTTGTGGCCTCCTAGATCCATACCACCAAGCCTTGTATGGTTATCATACAACTCTAATAGAACATACTATGTGTTCCTTCCGTCAGCAATAAATTAACGAGTGAAGGGAAACTAAGTTGAGGCTAAGAACAAAAGGAAGAGACACAGAGAGAGTGACATAGCCAATCCCCAATAATGAAAAAGGCATAGTAAGTCGTTACACAAGCCTACCGGAAAATTGTAACAGGCTACACGAATCGCGCTTATTGTTATTCTATGGCACCTTAATCTCTAGTCCATCTAGATCAACAATTGAACAGAAAACGGACAGTCCAAGTTTGTTCACGATCGACGCCTAAATGGGGTGTTTACATCCATAATCACTCATTCAACCTCACAAATCTAAATGCATATTAATCTAAAGTTGTAAATAATCAATACCTACATTACAAGTTATCTCCAAGTAATCTAAACCCAGTCTCCAAAAACACAAACAAACAAAAAATATATGTAGATGAAGAAGATCAAATATTGATATCACATAATCGCAGTAGTAACATTCCCAGAAATTCAGACGGATTAGTAACATCCATGTGCCAGATTAAAACAAAACCCTAATTGCTAATGCCACGATATTATAGCATCACATAACACAGAAATTCCAAAATCCGATATAAACGAAGTGCAATTAACCCAATAATCTCTCCGTCGAAACACAAAATAAAGCTAAAAGCTTGGAAATCGATATGCAAACCGAGTGGAATCAGTCGCGATTCTTCAAGCGCTCCACGCGCTGGTTCAGCTGCTCGATGCGGACGACGAGGTGGGTGACGGTGTAGAGGAGCCAGTAGAAGATCAAGGCGGCGGCGATCAAGAGCGCATTGCGCTGGCTCTTCATGATTGACTTCTGGTGGCGGAGGTGCTCCGAGGGAGTGCAGGAGTCTCCATGGCAGCTCGGGCGAGTCTCGTACTTCCAGTAGATGTCCATGAGCAAGAAGAGGCAGAACGGCACCACCGACAGAAACGGTTTGAGGAGGTTGCGGGTGACGGTGACGAGGCCCTTGCGGAGGCCGTCGAGGCCGGGGATCGTGAGAAGGAGCACCATGATCGCCTCCGCGGCGGCGGCGTAGCCGAGGACAACCCACTCCAATGCCATCGGATCTCTGTGCTGCTCGCTTTCCGGTTCTGGTTTTTGGGGAGATTTCAGAAATATGCTTTGCTTCGCGAGTAAGGACTTCTCTCGATTTCCCTCAGCGCCTTAAACTGGACCGACGAAATTGGAAGCTGGAGGAAATCCGACACGTGGCAGCTTGTTGCTTGAACCGGTGGACGTTCGTCATACGGTTGGAAACGATTTGCATTTGGGCCCCAATTTTTGTTTTCTTTACTTTTTGAGTCAATTCGACCCAGCCCAAGTTTATATGGTCAGTTAGGCCCGACCCAAGTTTTGGGTTAGTTGGATACATGGGCCTAGTTTAGCATACCGCATTAGTCATCGGATTAGGCCCTTTATACAAAGAGATTCCCTTTTTTTTTAATGGGGATTAGGTGTGGGGTTCACTTCATATCGAATTTCAATTATCCGAACCGTTTATTTTGTTAGTCTCGATTCATAGATCATCTTGGTAAAAATTCAATTCAATCCGAAACTATTTGCCTATTTAATTATCAAGATCAAATTTCATTGTTTCTTATATAACAAAGTATTCGTTCATTTCTTTGAACCCAATTAGATGACTTAAATATTTCCGATTTGGCTAATATTTTGTAAGGATGATCTATGAGATACAACTTGAAAAATAGAAGTTTCGGATTGTTAAAATTTAATGTGGTGTGGACCCCACAACTAATCCTTATTTTATAAAAGAAACGAATAGGAATCTCTTCCTTTAAAGACTTCCGTCATCAGATACTGCTATGTAATACGAATCTAGTGTTTGGTGTTGTCTGTATTACATAAGAACCGGACAAATTACAGGCTCACCTGTTTTATACGACTGTTACCCACAAACTTATACACCCCAAAATCTATGTATAATGAGTCGGTCGATAACAAAAACACGCTCGTTGCTTTCTCGATCCCTCTATTGCGAATCTTCTTCCCTTTGCTTGCGTTTGCCATGGTCTACCCCAACAATCTCTCATCTTCTTCTTCTCTATCTTATTTTATTTAGGGGTGTGATATCCACACACCCGATTTTACTTCTCACACACCTTTTTAATTTTTTGCTGTCGGATCGGCTGAATTGAAAAAGATTAACGGACAAAAATTATCAAGGGGTATGTGAGAAGTGTTAGAAATTATATATTATAATATGAAATATTGTATTATATAATTTTAATAATTGAATGAAAAATAGTGTTAATCAATTTCTTAGAAAGGTTATGTTGTTAAGGTGATTTTCCCTTGATAAGTGATGTATACTTATAGATGAAAAGTTACATCTCTTTAATAAGTAGAAGTTGGATTCTATATAAACACATGAAACCATTGGTATTAGATATAGAAAATTAGAGTTAATTTTTACTCTTGAGAAATAGGGTTTTCCCACTTGTTTCTCAAATGATTCGTATGTCAAATTCCAAGGCCTGTTTTGAGAGTATGGAATATATAAAGTTCGCTTGAGTCCGAAGATTGAAGTGCTTTGACTTCGGATTATAGATTGTTGAATCCTAGGAGATGGACGCCTACCGAACTACAAGCACAAGAGTAGGGGTGAAATTCTATCTTTAGGACACTGCATTTATGCAAGCCTCAATTTTTAAGTTTGTTAGGTTTTCTAACTTTATCTCTAGTTGTTTATATTAATCTCATATATAATCTAAAGATAGAAATTTCTTTATGCAATAATTAGAAAAATATGGATTTAAGAAATAATTATATTGAGAAAGTAGGAAAGAATGATTTGAATATATGTTATTGAAACTGCCATTTAAAATTTAGACTTTGAAATGGATGCATATTGCTGTGAAGATATTGTTCTTGAATTTCATTAAGA